GCATCAGACATGGCTCAGTTAATAAATGTTTTTGTTTGTTTTGTTTTAAATTGAGACCTGTGTAACATTTGTTATCAGTCTTATTTTTTTCATGTTAAAAGAAAAGGAAAAGGCAGTATCGGCTTCAAGAATCGGCCCAAAAAAATCGGCTGCACATATCGGCGTATCGGTTAGACTGACGTCAAAAAAATCGGTATCGGTATCGGCCTTCAAAAACCTGTATCGGTTGATCTCTATAAGAAACTTTATGTACTGTGCACCTAACACTTTGGGGGAGTTGAAATCTCTCAGGAGTTTTGTGTGTGCACATGATCATGCACATACATACATGCACACACCATATTTTTTTTCTTATCTTCAACAGTTAAATCATCCCTTACCCTTTGAGTTCAGTTCTCTGAGGCTGAAGGCAGAAAATTGAATGACCATACATAGCCACAGGGATTTACAACTTACTAGGGAGTCTACTGGTCAATGCACCGTAGAGGAAAGGCCTTGTGACATTTAAAGCTATTGAGAAGCAATAAAATGGGAGGGCAGAGCCCAACCACACCTCCTGTCTGTAGGAGAAATTAGCCTTACTGCTGCTGCAGCARAATTACTGATGGATTTTTGCTAGTTTTCATGGATTCCAGTGGAAACATTGGAGATATTTAGATATGCTTAAATATTTAGATATGTATTTTTCACATGTAAAAAAAAAATAAAATAAATAATGTAGCAATTTATTAATTGTATGGTCATTTTAATAAAACGACATGTCAATATGTGCATTCTTGTTTGCTGGCTCCATGTGTTGGTGTATGCACCCACACAGGTCTAACAAAGTATTTTGGTTGGTATAAAGGACCGTCTTGCAGAAAACCTGCTGTATGTAAGAGGCTGTTGCAAGAATGACAGACCTTGTGGCAGTTTGCAACATACACTTCTGTGGTCTTGCATAAAATGCTGCTAATATATACAATAAATAGTCATGCCAAGGGCCAATTACGATCTGCCAAGGCAAGACTGCCTTTCCAACACTTTGAATTTATTTCTTCTTTGTGTTTGACCAYATTTGGCTGCACTAGGCAAACATTAATGTCACTCACCTCATTTTTATTTTCAACGTTTTTTTTTTCCAACATCTACCTTCTCGAGGGATCCATTTGATTTTTCTGTGTGCACAGTTACTTTGTGCTTGCCACAGTTAATGAAGTATCCAGACTGTTTTRTAGTGAGGTGGGACATGCACAACATATCTTCACAGGACTATGTATTGATTTTTGTTTTTGCATTGCAGGGTTTTGGGTTATATGAAAGGTGAATGTATTTTCCTTTCCACTCTGGTGACCTTATCTTATCCTAATGTAATAATGATACACTACATTYTCCCTCTTGTTTGATTATAAAGATATTGGCTGTAAGCACTGACCTTCTCTCAAAAGTTTTACTGCTAGACTGTTAATCATAGTGTCCTTTTGCTTTACTTCATTCAGCCTGAAGAGCTAACAGAACTTAAAAAAATAATTCCTATATGTCTAAAAGATGTACCTTTTAAAATAAGAAATAAGTTTGCTTTATGKATGATTGTGTTATTCATAGTTTTTGTCAGTGTGGTTTTAGAAGTGCAAWTATTTACACTTTGTTCTTACATGTTTAACTAAAAGTTCTTGATTCACGAAAGTGGTTTTGTATTAAAATAAGGTGATGCATGCAGAAGAGTACAGCTGAAACACATGTAGTTGGTTAGCTACTTATAAGTGCATATGACTTAATATGATGAGTCTTTTCTTAAAATTTGATTTTATTTTATTTTTAACAAAARCRCTGCCACCTAAAAGGCTACCCTGGTCTCTTATCAGCGTGACTATTCTCATATTCATCATGTGAGGACATGCATCATTAAAGTTGATATTCCAGACTTAGAAGCTCTAAAGTAATGCAAGCTTGACAGGACATAACTTTGCTCTTAGAGGCTTTTAAAAGAGTCGTCCATACTTCACAAACTAATCATTTCACATTATGAGACAGCTCCTGTGAGACCCACAGTGTGTACACTATAGTGAGATGTTTGTTRTTGTGTTTGACCAAGGCAGTGATCGCTGCTTTTTTATATTCTTCCTRAAATTAAGATCATTATGGACAACCCTGAGCACCCACTTCATCAGACTGTCACTACAGCAAAGTCTATTCAGTCAGAGTCTTCCTCAGTTCTACTGTAAGACTTACCACTACGCTTTAAAGAAACCAGGATCATTTGAGTTGCAACAACATTTATTTTCCCTTTGGGATTAATAAAGTATTTTTAATTGAATAGGCTAAGCTTATTAACATGATGTGAACAGCTGTTCTTTAAATAAGATCAAAAGTAAGATTGTTTTCTTTAAGGAAAAGTTGTAATTTTAKTTATTGTTAAAACTTTCATCCTAGTACTTTATTAGTGCTTAACATAGATAAATGGATGTTTTGAAGTGATTTTTTTTTACTGCATAAGCCAGAATTAAGCACTGTCCCAAGTTAATTCACATGCTGGCAGATTGTTTTTATCCCCAAGACTTTGGAAGAGCTTTTTTTAGCGCAAAGTTTTTTTGCTTTAAATTTACTTACATCAACTTTGTGAATTCCTTCATGCACATAACTTGTGTGAAAGTGGGTCTTCTTTTCCTCGACCCATGACAGCATTTCTGCCTTAAGGACTGAACATACTCCTTTYGAAGCTGAACAGTCAACGCGCGGTCACGTGGTTGTTCGACGTTCGTTTTCGCACACACACCTTACATAGCCCCCGAGACACACYGTGTCCAGCTCCTKGGAARCCCYTCCTGCTGCGRCATAGGTCACTGCRTGTGGTTCCTTCCTGTTGGAGTCCACAATGCAGAAAAAAAAGTCARAAACCTGTCACCTGACRTTAYTTACCCACAAGTCTGTYGTGGTTAAAGCTCCACAGGTTTTATCAGTCAGATTCCTTCTTGCACAACATCTGTTTTAACACTATTCATGAGCTTTTGAACATCTTTTGGCTCTGGTAGCGAGTCTTTTTTTTAAGCGAGTGGTTGAAGTAAAATGCAGCGTCTGATCGCTTTCAGCACAAGCACTCCCACAAACTTCTAAACAAACACATATTATGTGGAGGGGGGTAAAAGGTTCTGCCGGCAGGTTGTGGCAAAAGGGGCAGCAGAGTCAGCGCCAAGAACACGGGTGACGTAATTTTTGTCATGAAACTGTAACAAGCCGAGCCAGTTACGGCAGTTCGGAGGGAGTGTGAAGTAGGCTTTAATCAGTTGTACTAAACTCAAGCTTCCAAATGTCATCKGACCAGTTGCCATTTCTGTAGTGTTTAATGGGACAAATACTTGTAAAGTCTGTTAAGAAACAACCTTTGACAGGTCTGGAAGTCTCATATACATCTTTTATAAAACAAACTCCTGCAAAACACTGAACAAAATTTAATCAAAGAGTTATTTTTTGCACATCATTCTATTGATTCTCTGCAGTCTACTCTGTCCACAAGAGTTCATATAAAGGAAAATACTGCCTTAGGGTCAATTCAATATGTGCTTTTGGAGAAAGTGAGCTTGAGGAATGAAATGCATTTGACAGAAAGAGAAAATATTTCAGTGCTTGCTGCCCTATGTAATTTATTGTGCATTATAATGGGATTAACTCTTTGGATTTTTATTTTGTGTTAGTTTCTAAGTATTTTTACAAAATCACTTTTCTCTCTGGCACATGAAAAAATATTTTAAAGACAAACCCATATATCTTGGATTAAAAACAAAACAAAACAAAAGAAAACACTTGGTTTAGTGGTCAGCTGTAACTCCCTCTCTTCTTTTTTAGGTGACTACTCTGGTGAACACCAGTAACAAAGGGCCGTCCAGTAAGAAGAAGGGACGGTCTAAGAAAGCTCATGTTTTGGCAGTATCTGTGGAGCAAGCCACCCAAAACTTTCTTGAAAAGGGTGAGCAGATTGCCAAAGACAGCCAGGATCTCAAGGAGGAGCTCATTGCTGCTGTGGAAGATGTCCGGAAGCAAGGTACAGTGCAGATGCAGTATTTATTTTCCTTCATTTGCTGATAATTTTAATTTTATTATATATATACTTATTATTTTTGATGGACTATTAAGAATGCGGTGTCTAATAATGACCTTCACTGCTCTCAGTCACATCATTATTTTTCATATTTTTTTGATCTTATAATTAATGTATGCAGTATATTTTATATAGTATATACATATACATTATACATTAATATTTAATAATTCATAGTATGAACACCCAGTGGGAGACTAATGAGGAGTTCATCTTAGTGGCGTGTTGCAGAACAGTTTTATRAAAAGAACTTAAAAAAGTTGTAATATCTTCGATAATTATTATCCTTTCCAAAACCGTAAACGGTTTATGTCAGTTTTTCAGTCAGTTTGAAATGGGAAACCCCACTGACACTACTTTCAGTGCAAAAGTTTGRCCCTGGCATCAATGATCGGATAGGAGGAGTAGTTGACAAAATTTTAATCTTTCAAGAGAAGCATGAAGTGCTTTTTAATGTCAGAAAATGTCAAATGCCGTCACAAATTTAGATGGATTTAGAGTTCAGAGTAGCAAGGCAAATCCACTCAATTTAACAGATTAGTACTTATTAGTTTTGGGCTTAACTCGCTGCTTCCAGCTTCATGAATGTATTGAGCCTCGTCCGGGAGTTGTTTATCCCAAAGTCATGCATCGTTAAAGCTTCAGCTGTCTGTGATGGTGAGGAGCATTGCTAAATCTTAAGGCTTTACAAATAGTTCCTTYTCATTAGCTACCTTCTAAATCAGTTTAAACTAAAAATGTCTGCATGGGTGCAGCTCTTCATCTCATCAAACGTTATAGTTGTGCTCATCAAAGCTCCCAACTTTGGTTTCATCTTGGATGGAGATTTATAAATGAATGAGCAGTAGGTGCTTTACATGTGATGTTTTAAAAAAAAAATTCTCCTAGTTTGTAAAAAAAAAAACATTGTTGTGGCTCAGTGCTGCTCTGTCCTGTCTGCATGTGTTGACAGTTCTATTTTTAATATCCCAATATTTTTTTTCTGTGACAAAATGAAAATTAAGCATTAAAATTGAGATTATAGGGGAACGGTTATAATATATTAATGCATTTTTGTGATAATTAAAAGGGTTAGAAATATAATATAAAAACTTGTATTTTTTGCATTAGACTCGTGTATGCAAGTCTGCACATTTAGAATTAAGGTCATTACACTGGTCTCACCTTTTTGATGGCAGAAGATGGCACTTATTGTTTATCTCTGTTACTTGAACAGAACATCTCAGTTTGAGCTGCTGATGTATAAAAACCTAAGATGTGCATTCTGGAAAGCGTTTTAGCTTGGAGGTGTGTAATAAATGAACACACTATTCTCTATTTACACTCCACATCTTTGCTTGGTTTTCATGTCAGCAGTTTGTCTTGATTATGACAACACGAACATGATGTTGAMTAAGTTCAGAACAAATAATCCAGGTTTTAAAGAGATATGTTGCAGCAGCCATGAGTTTCCCTCAAATAGAAACACCAGCATGAAGCTTCTCTGAGATGGAAATGTCTTTAAATGTGTCACTGGTTCATTAGACTTCTGTCATCGTGACCTCATCATATTCAACCCTTTTATCTCGTCATGCTTGAATTAGAGAAATTACTTCCTTCAGCCCACAGGGGGATYTAATATTCAGACACTTTGGTGTGTTACTCTTCACAAGCTCACTGCAGGCCACAACAGCCTTCTGATAAAATCAAAGACGGAGTTGGTTCTTGAGCACATTCTATTTGTATGCAAGTATACAATCATATTGCATCCTTCCAATATTTACAGTATTTTAAAATGATTTTTGATTAAGACTTTTTGAAAATATTCAAAGATAAATATTTTTATTTACTCAGCAATCTTAAACTTATAGAGAGCAGTTAGGCCCGTTCATTATTGACCCAGCGTGAGAAACTCTCATCGTTATTTACGGGGACGCTTGGCTCAGTGGTGCTGTGGTCAGCAGTGATCTATCACAAGTTCAGTGTTTGAACCTGCTGGCTGTTTTTGGCTGGTATATGGGTGTTGTCTCTATGAAGGCKTTTCTCCATGTGCTCCAGAGTCCCGAGATACGTGTTTGTGATTTTAAATTGACCATTGGTGTGGGAGTAAGCATGCATAGCTGTTTGTTTTGCTGTGTTAGCTTTGTGATTGACCGCCACCCTTCAGGGGGGATCCAATGTCAGATGGAACAGACTTCCCACCCAGTCCCCTTAATAAGGGGTTGGAAATACATAAACACTTTTTTTATCTGTTGTCTATATTTTAAAACTAAAACAAAGGTTTATTGTTGYTAACCAGTGAGAATATCTGATAAAACCATTGCATAATGTAACTAGTTTGTTTTATGCAGTTTATATCAGAGTTGGAGATGTGAAGGAGGATTTTTTTTTAACTTGGTAAACTATTTTAAATTTTGTGTGTGTAAATTTATATATATAATGTGTGTGTGTGTGTGTGTGTGTGTGTGTGTGTGTGTGTGTG